CGGAGCAATGTCCCTTACATAGCAGCACTGACCCTATCAAGAAAGGGAAAACGCTAAATATATCTGAGTTCTCCCTGTTCTAGATCAGTTCGCTTGGAGTTTGCAAATCGGCAGTTCGCTTGTAGTTCGCTAGGATTTCGCTTTGAGTTCGCTTTGAGTTCGCTTTGAGTTCGCTTTGAGTTCGCTCTGAGTTCGCATTCGAGTCGATAGGCAGTCCATCAGCCAAAGTCAATCGGCAATCGATCGGCAGTCCATCAGCCATAGCAGTCAGGCTAATAACAAATACGCAAGGCAGTCCATCGGGAATCAAGAAGTAACCTACACGCCGCGGCCCAACAACCAAACTAACCAAGTAGCAATAATAATAACCCGACACAATAAAAAAAACTATTAAAACTCTAAAAGAACCAAAAAGTGTTGTGAATGCCTAACCGTTCTCTTTCAGTTCCTGGCAAAGTTCCTGGTTTTTTTCCCGATAAAGTCCTCGTGAATTACAAATAACTTGTGATTCAGGACCCTGGACGGACTGATGCATACCTCAGCCTGATATAGGTCCTCACAAAGTACATGTCAAACTGTTTCGCTATGATCAGTTGCGTAGGTCAGTGACAATAAACTCCGGTAATGAAAGCGCATAGGCAAGCAAAAAGAAGACAACGAAAAAGAAATCAGAGCGCACTACCTCTCATCTTCCCCTTTGTGCTTTGGTTCTTAAGAGCGCCCTACAGAGCCGTTCAAATGCGCTGCCTAGGCGTATAGGTGTGAGAGAGTGAGAGAGAATAGCCTCTCTTAAGCGAAGATACTTTCCGTTACGTGAGGTTCTTTTCGCGAACACTTATTTAACAATACCCAAATGCTAGTTTTTTTTCTGTTTTAATACATGAAATATTGGTTGGTGCAACTTACAGCTTTTATAAGGTAATTATTTTTGCTGATCCACCGATGAAAGCGCTTTCATGGGCTGCTGCAAGGTTTCCTGAAAAAAAACTCACACTCTTTTTATGCGGTCAATATGATCGACCTTTTATTCCACTTATATTAAATTCCACTTTTTCCTCTTCATACCGACGATTTCCACCGAATTTTCAAACAATCCACATTTTACCGGCTCGACCAACCGTCGACCAAAGTTAAGTCGCTCCCGCATTATGACTGCTGAGCTTCTCTTCTTTTTCTTTCCGTCCCCTCTGTGCTTTTAGGTCGAGCGAGGTAATTTTGCGTGTGTGCAGTAGGTGAGCGGGGAGCAGAAATCCCGCAGTGATAGCGTCCGCTCTAATAAGAAGGGAATTTGTAGTTTTTGGGGCTTTCGTGCTGGGTCAACGGCCCAGGGCAATACGGGTGGTTTTGCCAACGGACAATAATTGCCCCAATTTAGGTCCAGTAGTAACCGGCAATCTGAAAAATCAACTTCTTTCAACTTCCCTGCCAAGACCATGTGGGTATGAGACTCCAGCGGGTATAAGTCATACCAATTAAAATTAGCACTTTTCGGTTTTGTTTCTTTTATTGGCAATGAAAGCAGTGTCCTTTACTGGCAGTTTGTACGTAGGTTGTTGCTGTCATCCGACTTTATTTACTTTTTTTTTGCTTTTACAGAATTTTATTAGACTGGTAAAAAAAATCACGTCTATCTTCACCACTAGCTTCCTTCAAAAAAGAAATATGCTCGCCATGAGCAGGACTTAGAACCCCAATTACAGCATTCGGATCGACCATCTTCCATTTTCGTCTTAACGCCGTACTCATTTTAGAACGCTCAACTCAAGAACTCTCTCCTTCATTTTCCTTTGCGTTAAATTTTGGGTTCCAATTGAGTGAACCATGAACGGAGATAAATTTCCCTTGTGGTACTTTTTCCAGAGTGTTTCCGTTCTGTTCCCTATTCTTTATACCTTACTAGATGTACCTAAATTTTCTACATCTTCATCCACAGTCTAGCGACAAGCCACTTCATAGTTTCGGCTGGTTATAAATCCTATATCTTTACTTCAAGCGTCACTACACTCTCGAGTAACGGGTATAAAAATTACTTTTTGATTATAACTTGAAATTTTTCATGAACTTGCTGCCTTAAACCCAATGCCTTAAACCCCATGAGAGTGAGCGAGATGCATATATGCATTATATTGAAAATCGACATTTGTGACGTAGATGAGCAAAATGAGTACAGAATGAGTACCTTCTTCGCGCGATCTTCTTTTTATGTGTTGTGATTCTGAAGGATCTTCTATTAAAAAGTCTTTGGAAATTTAAAGCAGAAATAAAATATTTTGCATAATTGGGTTTAAAGAAGTTTCGACATCATCATCGTTAACAAAATGCAAAGATGCCACAATTTCTCGTTTCACAATGTACTTATGTAACGTTATCGTTAAACAGTGCAAGTGAGATATTTCCATCACATAAATACCACAAATGACTGCAAAGTCTTTGTTTCGGATCAACGTCTTAATAATTGTACATTGAGAATTTAAATTTAAAGTCCAGATTTGGAAATTCAACAGCTTGACCGAAACCAATAATGTATAAAAAACCCAATATGTCTATTAATATTCAATACAAAATTGAATTCGTCGGTTTTTTTAAATAATATTGAAACTTAGAAACTAGTTCATATTGATAATAAGGTATTTTTTTTTTAGATACTGTTAAAAATGTAATGATTGGTGAAAATCAAGAAGTTCAGCTGAGGTTAATATATTTAGTTAACTAGTTCGCAAAAACTAGTGCAGGTTTCTTACTGCCAATAACTGATTAATGACGATATGAATGGTATCAATATATATGCAATTGATTTCACCAATTATCCAACTCATTCAGCAAACATTTTTTTTTTAATTTCATGACTAAAATTTTTTTTTAAATTCGGTAGCAACCTCTAAAAAATAAAAAGAAATAAAATCAAAAACATGTAAATTACTATTAAATGCAAAGTAACAAAACTAGGGGGTGTCCCGTTTGAATTTCGAAAAAAAAAATGTTTGGCCCAACAATTAATACGTCGCGTAAATATTACTCTTCTTGATTTGTTAATTGAAACTGATCTCGAAAAACAATAATTTTTTGAAAGTAAAGATCGCCTTTGACATGCAGATTGCGTTTTGCATTGGTTAAGGGATTCGGGAATGACAAAGAGTGGATCGTTTATTCCTGATGTAGCTTCGGCAAGTGACTCAAATTCAGACCGCGAATGTATTTCGCTTATTTGATGTCCCGGACGTTTTTCCTTCCATATCTAAAAAGATAATTGGCAATCATTCCACTTTGCCATACCCAGTCAATTCATGAAGAATTTTACCATCCCAATGAGTCACTGCTGACATCTGAGAATAAAACGAGAAGGAACGTGTGAGTCGCTTCTGGGGACGCGACTCTACTTTTATACCCGTACTCAGTCAGTATATAAATTTTTAGCTTATGGTTTATGTAGAATTTAAAAAATTTTTCATTTTATATTTTTTTGGTACATCTGTTATCTACATCTACATCTACAATGTCGATTAAACATCTAAAATGTAGCGGGTATAATTAATTAAATTGTACACAAACTTTTGATCATTTGAATATTGACAGATAAAGTCCAGCGCGGCAATTCTATATTTAAATACATGTGAAATTGGTACTTAAATGTAAACTTAAGTATTTATTGTTTGCTTAAATATAGACCTATCGAGCTAACATTTTTGGGGCGGAAATTTTTTAAACAGTTAAGGGGTATATTGTATTTGTGGTAAAAGTGGATGTGTGCAAAGCAGAGAAGGAAATGTTTCCGACCCCATAAAGTATAAATATTCTTGATCAGCATCAATAGCAGAGTCGATATAGCCATGTCTGTCTGTCTGTCCGCCCGTCCTTCCGTCTTAATGAGCGCCTAGATCTCAGACACTATAAGAGCTAAAGCAACTAAATTTTAATTCCAGACTCATGTGATATCACAAAATATTCAAAAATTTCGCCCCCTTCCGCTGCCACCAAAGATGAAAATCTGTGGCAGCCACAATTTTAAAGATACAATAAAACTAAAACGCAGTATCGTAGAGAATGACCATATCTACCAGATTGCCGAATCTGGATCAGATCAGATCATAATTTATCATAATTAATTTTCAGTTGCTTCCCTCACCTTCTCCAGCAAGAGACCCGCTACTCATTCTCTTTCTCGCTCGCACACTCTGCCTCGTTATGTACGAAAGCGCCCGCTGGCGGAGAAGATGTAGAATCTAAATGGTACATGTATAATCTACATTTTATATGTAGAATATACATTGTACATGTAGATAACAGATGTAGAAAAAAAATGTAATATTTAAAATTTTTTTTAATTCTACATGATTCATAAGCTCAAAAAGCAGACTAGTACGGGTATAAAAGTAGAGTGGTGTCCCCAAAAGCGACTCACACGTTCCTTCTCGTTTTAAATAAGTCTAAAAATGATGAACAAATACTAACATTTAAAAGTTAAAATTATTTTTATTAGGTGGAGGAAAGCATTACTCAAAGGGAACTGAGTCTTGATAGTATATCTATAAAACTGAATTCTTATGTTATGGATGGAGCTGTCACTCGGCCTCTCTTAAAAACTAGTTGTAGCATACTCAAGTTGTGTGGAAAAAAACGAGCTTACCTCTGAAAAAAACCTCAAAAAAATGGGAATTGAAATTTATACAAATCCTCATTCATTACAAAATTTTTGGCCAAAAGACTATCAGAAAAAGTTGGTAAGTATAGTCAAGTAAAGTATTAAAAAAAAAAATTTATAATATTATTTTTGATGCAGATTTCTTATAAACATAGGAAAGTGGTTTTTAATAGAATTTTGTCTTTTGTTAGAGTAAAAGCGGGATGTATTTTAATAAATCTTTTGAGAAAACATGACAGATTTAAAACCAACCGAAAAATATTTCTGGAATATCAATATTTGACTTGTTGAGATGTTAACCCGACCACCCTGATTATTTTGAAGTATTATTATCCAGTTCAATACTGTGAAAAGAACTCACCTGTACATTGTCCTGTAATATGTCGGCTGGTGCGGCAACGTGGAACTGGCACATCGATGATTACAGCGAAAATCATCGTCTATGTCAAGGACGTTTGCGAGCAGCGACTTCGAGGATCTGCATTTGCGTTGGAACAACATAATATAGTTAGGAACTGATGGAATTTCACAGGGTATCAGATAAGGTAATAATGCGATTGATGTGTAGAAGAGTTGAAAAGCTAGAGTCAGCCGTCGGTTACCTTTCCTTGAGCTCAACGTTTTGCATATGTTGCTTTTTGTCGCCTGCAGTCGACGGGCCCGCTGAGGAGGGCGGTGGCGGACATTCGTATCCAACCTGTCCGGGTCTTTGCATGCGCAATATGCAAGGTAACCAATAAAGGAATATTACTCTTATCTGTGTGTGCGAGTTCGACAGAGAGACGGAGTGTTTGGGTAATGCGGTTAAAAATAATAGCAATAAGTATTTCAAAGGGTTTTCCAATTTGATCGATTTCGTTTAATTTTAATTGATTTTTAAATTATGATTCAGATTAATGTTAATGTCAGTTTTTTTTTGGTTTGGCGAAGTTTTATATTATTTTGTTTCCGTTATTTGTTATTTGACACAGCAGTTTTTGTTCCAGTTTTCGATGATACGCATGATATGGTATTGAATGGACAGAATGAAAGTCATTTCAGTTTAAAGTTTTTGGATTAGTAGTATTTGGTTTATTGTTGGAGTGTTTATTACGTGACGGTTTGTAAGTTTGAATTTTTAAAGTTTAATACGATTTTTAGCTCAACGGTCGGATATGGGATATATGTATTGTGGATTAGTATATATGTACATAAAGTTTTTTAGAGTGGAGCGGGATGGAATGGGATTTGTGAAAGTGATCGGGATTCGCGTTGTTGCCATTGTATTTAATGTTGTCGGTTTTAGGAATATCATTCATTTTTGTAAGTTTTTGGTGTTGTTTATGCAGGAAGTTACAGGGATAGGTAGAGAGACATATATACGGAGAGCGTGAGACAAAGAAAGAGACACACAGAGAGACAGTTGAGGAGGCAGTTAAGTTGAGTTGTTAGCGTTGAGAGTAGTTGAGTTGCCGGTTAGCGTAGTTGTTGGTTGGTTGGTTGTATTTGTAGTAGTTGGCCAGAGTTTTTGTTAGAAAAATAAGAATTTTGTGAGATTATTGGTGGTGTTATTGTCTTGATCAGGTAGGTAATTACGAGTATATGAAATAATATAGGGAGAGTTATATGACGAGTAAATGCAATGTGAGTAATAAATATGATAAAAACCGAAATTATTCTGCTTAAATAATATTAAAAGCAAATGTACTATTTATTACTATTAAGAGCGCAAAATGGTATTGTTAGTAAATCTCGACAGTATACTTTACTTTATATATTAAATTGACTTTTATTCTATTATTTAGATTTATTTAGAAAGTTCAAGTCACTTTGTGCGAAAGGGGTGACATGGTTATTGTAGGTCAGGTGCTTAAAAAAATTTTTTATTTATATTTATTCTCAATATTCAGAAATGAATAGCAAATGTGATTGATGTGCTTATATGTTCGAGTAAAACTATATTCCATATATGTATGTACATCTCTGGCGTTTTGTTTATATTAATTTTCATACTACTTCTGACTGACTTAGATTGGATCATCAAAACAAATTCATTTTTTTATAGCTAAATAAGTGAGAGATACAATTTGAGTAGAATTTTACTGATTTTTTCAGTAATCTGCTCACTATAGCGTGTTAACTTCACTTAAGCAGTTTGATTTAAGTCAATTTTCGCACTTCAAGCTCAGTAATCAAAATAAGGCGCTAGTTTCCAGTATCACTTCGTGCAGTCGGTTTTAAATTCAGCACACAAATACTTTCTTTTTGATTATTGGGAATGGTGCCAAGGAATGATCTTTTTGTAGTTTCCCTGCATATATGTATGCAGAGCCACATCAAAAGCCGTCCCTACATATACATATGTACATATGTATATATTCGTAATAATTTATGAATTTTTAATAAAATTAATTGGCTGAGAAAACTCAGCTGACTGAGCCGTGTTGCTGTAGTTGTCTGTTATATGTTTAAATTACATATGTTTCTGGCGCAATACTGTACGATTTTTTTCGTTCTGTGAAAACATTACTATTTTTCAGGCATTGTGGATGTTAATTTTTCCTATTCATATGCTTATCATTGTGTCTAACGCTTGAGCACCAATTTTTATGTTCATAATGGTGTTTTTTTCGCCTATGCACAAAACGTAGTTTTACCAACATCACACGCATAGCCGAAACAAAGACAATATAAGTATAAGATGCGGAACGCTCATACATTTCAATTGCCATATGCAAGACAATTTTTCGGCCAGCGACGAAATTCGCGCCATCTCGCTCGCACAAATTTGAGAGCGTACGAATCTAAAAATAGAATCCGCTTGCATGTGTAAGTACACACAGAACAGCAAGTGCGTATGTGTGCGTACTTGTGCTAAGCGGACGATTTTCGAGACGGAAACCTTTTTATGAGTTGAGAAACGAAATTATATACCGACGTTGAATACGTCGCATCCTGAATACCCTAATGGCAATTATTCCAATGTGATTCATGGAATTTCATGTATTAAATATATTATGTATTTTTATATATGTATATCCGATCATCATTATCGAATGTACCATCTTAAAATAAATTATCGTTGGAGGGATATACATATACAATATAACAGTTTTTTAATATTGGGGTGGTAAGCGTCTTGCAAAATTAACTTACACTTATAAAGTGAAGGGTATATTTCGACAGCGCTGTAAAAAACGTATGCATGTGCACACATACAGTCGTCGCGACGACTCGGCTCGGCTATCGCATCGGCAAAGAACCAACTTCGTGTGCCTTCGTATGCTGTATGCATACAAGAGAGCGGCTGGCTCTAGAGCGCTCTCTCTCTCTAAAAAATTTCAAGAGAGCCTGGAGCCAGCTCTAGAGCCAGCCCCGAAAATTCGTGTGCAGAAATTTTGTATGGCGTTACGCATCTTATACTTATATTGTCTTTGGCCGAAATCACAGCTGCACACGCATACATCCATGCGTTCCGTATTCTTTGTACCACCCCCGCTAATAAAAACGCGTTATTATATTAACCTGTACATCATCAATATTACTTAGAAGTAAAGTCAAAATATATAAAAGCTATTATATGGAAACCAAAATTTATAAGAAAGAAATATTTCGTATCTGGCTTGTGAAGTTCCTTAAAAATTGCAATAAATTATTATTATTGTAAACCTACATACAAACATACATATGTACAGCTGCGGTCATATTATTATTATTTTATGAATATATCCAAAAAATTGTAATAATCGCAGCGGCAGAGAAATAAGTAACGTGTTTGACTTCGTGTCTGTTGTCTTCGCACATAAACGCACCAAAAAAATGTGTGAGTCTGTGTGCCGACACCTGCTCTAGTTTAAACAGCTATAACTTGGCATACAGTTAAGTTAAACAGATAATATTAATTTTATATCAAAGATCAATATATCTACTATCCGTTAAAAAAAATATATTATAATTTTCTACTATGGTATCCTTATAAAAATTAACTTAAGCAAAAAATAAATTATTCGGACACATTCTGGTTGGTAACTGATATTATCGAATTGATCGGTAATCGACTACTTTTTTAGAATATTTGGTTGGAACAGTTATCGGAGGATCACCTGGTTTCATTTCAATTCTGCAAAGATATTCAATATTTGAAAAAATCAGAATCTATCTCTTGATTTGCGTAAAACTATCCTTCAATTATATTTGGAAGACCGCAGTTTTCGCGAAATTGGTAGAATAATTGTTAAATCGCCTAGCAACATACATAGCGTGGTAAAAACAATTTGTAAACACTGGGGAATTGGCTGCAAACCACAAGTCAGCTGGAAGACCCAAGATACTGACACTCAGAGAAGAGCGAAAAGTAATATCAACCGTCCACCTAAATCCCAAAAACACAAATTCTTAAAATGTCAAAGAATCGACAAAAAACAAAATGTCGCCCCAAAGTATTCGCAACTACCTGCACAATTCCGGTTACAGTGGATGAGTTGCAAGGCGCAAATATTTTGCCAAAGACCATTTGGAAAAGCCAGATGCATTTTGGGATAACGTAATTTTTAGTGACGAATCCAAATACAGTATTTTTAGTGATGAAGTCATGAAAGAAAAAAATTTGTTCCCAAATGTAAAGTTGCGAGTTTGTTTTTATGAACTTGAAGTAGGAATGTTAATCTTCAATATGAAATCAAACTTAATTGGATGAAAAGTTATATGTATTTAAACTAGAGTGACAAGGGTGTCCGAATAGTATGTGTGCCTACTGTATGTAAGTTCCTGATTCGGGTAATATTTGTTGAACGAACCGGAACTGTTTCTTATCTTGTGTATCCTTTTCGTTGTTATACACGTGTACGTAATCGGCAGCGCAGATGCACCTACGTATGTATGTTAAGGCTTTCCGATCGCTGCAGCGCTGATCTAAATTTAAACCAAGGTTTTCCCGAACGGGTTTCCATAATTTGAGGAGCGAGCAACAAAAAACACGCTTCGAATGAAACCGTACAGTAAAATTATACCCAAAGGGGACAATTTTTAGGGTGTCATTATAAATACGATTTCGACCGCAACTGTGCTCGGATGTATGTACATATGTACATATTTATTTACTAGTAACTAACGTGTAAGTGTGATGTGATTTTCAGAGAGTTTTTTGTACATATGTATGTGTGTAAGTTATAGTTAATATAAATATTTACTTATCGGAATGTCCCTTTGGCTATTGTTGATTGTTTTTCTTTCCTTTCCTTACTCGACAAAATTTAACTTTTGCTTTAGGCTGTGAACCAAAATGACTTTTTCTGATAGATTTCGGGATTTCAAATTTTTTGTAGTACTTTATTATTTTTTTTATGGTGTAATTTTTTTTAAAGAAGTTTTAAAATCTGGTATTTTTTTTCAGAGGTAGTGCTTCTATTTTTTACATAACTTAAGTAGCTTATATCTGGTTGCATAGAACTGTGTAGTTCTAAAAAGCTGACAAAAGCAGCTGTAAATCGTACCCAGAAACTTTGTATCTGAAGCTTAACGCCTGGAAGATATTTAGCTTTCAAACTCAAATTTCATAATATTTTTTCGGTATTTTTCCCAAAATTTTGACTTTAAAAACTCGGGAAAAGTCGAAAGAAAAAATTTCGTGGCATGCATTTTTAGTTTTAGATAGACGCATTAATTAGTCGTCGTTTAAGGTATTGTTCATTAAAATCTACGGAGAAACAGTGGAGCTAAAATTCGTTAACCAAACCTCAAAAGTGAAAAAATAGACAAAAAATACTTTTTACCAAAAATTCAACCCCTTTTCGTTTGCTTTGTTTCCTTTGTTTCCAATTGGCAGTTGGGGCGCAACCTTCCAACCTTTTTTTCGACTTTTCCCGAGTTTTTAAAGTCAAAATTTTGGGAAAAATACCGAAAAAATGATGAAATTTGAATCTGAAAGCTAAATATCTTCCAGGCGTTAAGCTTCAGATACAAAGTTTCTGGGTACGATTTATAGTTGCATTGGGCACCTTTTTAGAACTGCAAAGTTCTATGCAACCAGATGTAAGATACTTAAGTTATGTGAAAAAAAAAGCATTAATTTCAGGTAAAATTATTTTTGAGTTATTTTGGTCAAACGGCTCCAAATTGACCGTTTATCCATAGATTCTAATGAGCAATACCTCAAACGACGCCCAATTAATGCGTCTATCTAAACCCAAAAATGTTGGCCAAGAATTATTTTTTTTCGACTTTTCCCGAGTTTTTAAAGTCAACATTTCGAAAAAAAATTCCGAAAAAAATTATGAAATTTGAATTTGAAAGCTTAATATCTTCCAGGCGTTAAGCTGCAGATACAAAGTGTCTGGGTACGATTTTTAGCTGCATTTGTCAGCTTTTGAGAACTACACAGTTCTATGCAACCAGTGATAAGCTACTTAAGTTATGTGAAAAAAAGAAGCACTACCTCTGAAAAAAAAAAAATAAATAAAAAAAAATTCTTTAAAAAAAACTACACCATAAAAAAAAACTATAATTCGTTAAAAAATTTTAAACCCCGAAATCTATAAGAATTTAAATTTTGGGCCACATCCTAATTCTAGTGTTGTCTGTGGCATCAACACACATACATATGTACATATGTATACATATAAGTTTTTACATATGTACATAAGTATGTGTGTATTTATGTACAATACATATTGGATAATTTGCTTTACTCGTCAGCGGATGGAGTGCAGTGTAGTGTTGTGGAGTGAAGTGCGTGTTTGTGCGGATACTGGAGCTCTGCATGAACTAATGAACACTTTGACGACGGCATCCGGTTGGGGAAGACGTGAACTCAACATATTTTTCAAAGGATTTATATGTAGCTAAAGAATGAAATCGTAGTTTCGGCGGGTAACTCTTTTAATATGATTTACATGGCAGTTAGACTATTCATAGCACCGACCAATAGTGATATTTGCTACAGGCCTACACATACTTTTTTACGCTAAGTCCCAGTACCGAAGTCTATACAATTACTTTTTTTTAAACGAGTAAGGACGTAACCCCTAATGGAAAGGGGGAACTATCTTGTATTGCCCAATTTGGACTAAAAACCCTCTTGTATGTAAGTGGAAAAGAAAGAAGACTACTTAAAATTGTCACTTTAATTTTCACCAATTAAATATTTAGTATACAAATTTATTGAATGGCCTAGTTCGTCGGAAAATAATTTCTTTTATGGTTGGTTATGACGTTTTGATATTTGGGCACTGTTGTACTTTGAAATAAAAATGGGCGCATATAGTCATTTTTTTGTATAATTCATCAAAGCCAACTAAAAATTACAAAATATACATACTATATCAATAAATCTTTATAAAATGTTTTTTTTTATAGGCTGTTTACATTGGGACTGCGTCATGCTTCTTTGCGTCTTGGCGAAGACGCAGTTTTTTTTACATAAGCATAGGGCCCTAGTGGTGGCAAAAAATTGCGTCGGTCTCTGATTCATGTGCGTCTATTCGATATATTCGATTGCTTTTGCGCTTAACTGTACATTTTTGCACTTTTCTGCCTATCAGCGCAACTATCACCTCTAAGAACAACAAAAACTTGTAGTTAAAAAATAAAATTTTGGCGCTAAAATGAATGGTTGTGCAAAAAGGTGAAAATATACATCAAATCATGAAATAAAATACTTGAAACTGATTGTATTATTATCATACGACATTTTTGTGATCCCCTGATGCCATTATGACACTGCTGGAGACGAACTTCGATGGTTTTCATAATTTTAAGAAGAACTCCCACAAGCTCTACAAAGAAATGTCTGAAAATAATAAATAAATATAAGAATCAATTCTCTTTCGTCCATATTCTTGTCGTCTTGCATAATTCTGTTGATTTCTCAAAATTTGTTTACTTTCCTTGTCATCAAGCACCCAAAAAAAAATTCAAGACGCGCGTCTGCCAATGTAAACGCCTTTTCTGCTTCATTGCGTCTATTCCGATATCGATAGCAGACGCGCCCAGTGTAAAAAGGCTATTAATCACAGTCCCTCTTTAATTATTATTATGTATTTAAAACAAAAAAGTAAATACTGAAATATGTACGAACATATGTACATATACGTATGTGTATAAATGTATGTATGTAACTTAGAAAAGCCTAAATTAACGTAATAAAGTTAGTGTGGGCCCGCATTACACAAAAAATTTGATTTTGTCAGCCTATGTAATATTAGATATGTATTTGCATATGTGTGTACACATGTACATATGTATATACATACATATATACGATTAGGTAGTCAATGTCGTGCATGGATGTACATTGTACATACATATGTACTGCACGGAATCTACTTATTTTGGTGCATCAATATGTATGTATGTATACGCTAGAAGAATCTGAACGTAAGTTGCAAAACTGATTGAAACGAAACGAAGTGGATTTCAGAACGAGCATATCTTGCTTTCGATTTAACTCTAAATATAACAGAGAATAGAAATTGTAAATGTTCGCTTCGTTAGCTTGAACTCTCATTTGTAATGAAATTTTCGTGAAAAGATTCGTTTAGATTGGATCCATGTACGTACTGTATATGGCATTAGTTTTGGATCATTGCAATACATTGCAAAAGATCACTGAATAAATAAAACATATTTACATACGAATGTATGTACATATGTACGTACTATATGTATTTACAGTGTAAATTTTACACTTGTTCTGTGTCGAAAGATTCGTTTCCTGTGCATTCATGCAGGGCACATGATCGAAATAATATTTACGTATGTATGTATGTACATATGTATGCAAGTGTGTAGATTTGGGCAGCATTTAAAGTTAGTTATATGTATGTAAATATATGTACATACATATATATGTATGTAAATATATGTACATACATATGTTTGTATGCATAAACCTCAGATGAGTAAATGATATATGTATGCAAAAAGTAATTAGTATTGTTCGAAAACTAAGACTCGGCAGTGGAATTTGGTTTTTTTATAAAATAAGTAAGTAGTTATTTATGTTAATTTGAATATATAAACATTACCCATTCACTCATTTCATGCGTATCTGGATTTCTATGATGATAATTGAGGATAAGTATGGTTGACACAACTGATGAGGCCACCATAAACATAATGCAATTGAAATAAGTTCCTAGAAGGACACAAAAATTACACAAACATTGTGGTAATTGTTCGATTCGTTTTGTTGTTTTTCTTCTTTTTTTTTTTCTTAGCCTAGTCCCAAACCGATATCGATGATGGAGGATGACTGACCGCTCCTACATTGCTTCCTAATCGCACCTACTGGTGCATGTATGTATGTATGTACATATGTATGTAGTACAGTAATATATACTCGTAAGTACAGTCACATCTGCATTTACTTCTGCGGGTTTGGTTTTGTTTGCGTTCTAGTGTATTTATATATGCTTTTTTATACGGTTTAAACATAATTAAAGCGCCCTCTACTGTCGTCCGGTATATGTATGTAAGTTTATGGTATAAATTAATGTACATAATTGTGTATATTTTAGTTTACTGAAAAATTGGAAAGACATTGAAGTAATATAGTTACTAGATTGTTTGTCTTTCATGTTCATGTGTGTGTGTGTTAGCGTAGTTATGTGTGTACTCTGATTGTGACTATTTTAAAAGAAGTCCACTTGAGTGTGTTTTTAGGCGAGTAGAAATAAGGTAAGAAAAAGAGTTGAATTCTGTTTTCTTGTTATTTAGGAGTACGGGTATAAGAGAAAGAGAGGAGAAAAACAATAAATTAAGTTAAGCCGTTACGTAAGTGAATGTTTTCTTATTTTACAATCTAATTCGCTTCAGTTAAATATACAATAATATTTTTACTCCTAAGTTCAATGGTCCTTCGGTCCACAGGCGGCCTGGCACAATTCAAATTTGTGACTCATTTCATAACGATCCCAGCTCCGCTGCTGTTGCAGGAGTTGGAGCTCTGGTTTTGAACTGAGCCGCGAATTTAGGTCGTCCTCCCACTGTTAAAGGCTTGAAGTGACGACACACCCACACCTCACCTTCTTCATTTCTAGACAATTGACTAATTCTGAAATCTGCTTTACGTCATTTGTTTAAGTGTACAACCAATTATCCGCAATCATCATTTTTGTTTAAAAATCGAGATCTAATCTAAAATTTTCTCCAGTTTTTGAGCTGTAGATTTTTGAAGACGTTTTCTATGGTGGGGGAAGTACGAGTATAAAGGTTGATTTTGTATCACAATGGTTATGTTTTTGTTGTGGGTTTTGATGTTCTTGTTCATTTAAGTTGAATTTGAATTTGAGAGGCGATTTTTAAGGGGCTCAATCTTATAAGAAAATTGTTATTTTATTTGCTTTATTTAAGAAACCTGGGTTGTTTATTGTTAATATTATAGCTCATTTATTTATTTTATGCACAGCGATGGACAGAAAATGCTTTGCGTTTTAAAAATCATGAGTTCAAATGATGAAAGCATAAGTATGAAAACTATACGCAGAGCTCGCCTTTTTGGTAGAAAAAGTAAACTTCGTCTCAGATTTTTAGCTGTTGACTGCCATCAAACTTTAGGTTGGAAATTGGGTTTCAGAAATATATTCTGTACTGAATTAACATATAATTATAGCCATTTAATATATATGTTTGTATGTATATTAGTTTTCGACTATTTTAAGTTAGAGGGATGCCTTGATACCAAAATAAGTCAACTGAATATCGGGAATGAACTTATGTATGTATGGAATGAGTTTTCTTTTTGAATAAGGAAATAAAATTCCTTACGGAGGTTTCCGATATCGGGCCATGAATCTAACATTTTACTGTTATAAGTATTTTGATCAGTTTAATGATCTAAAAATTGTTTTATAATGATGTTATTAACATATGAGTTAAAAATAAAGGAACAAAATTTAATTTTTATTGATAGTTTTGTGAATTAATTTCGTTGTGAGAAGTATAAATCGATAGATATTTATGATATGTGATGATGATTATTTAAAAAAATCATTTGATTATGTCAATTGTTTTCAAATCCACAATCACTGCGCTTAGAGTCATCGATCGGGACAATTTATAATATTAAGTGAGTATGTATATGGCTCTACAAAATATGTTTCTTGGGGCACACACGCTCACCCTATCGCATTAGTTGCATGGAACACTCTAAACCTTTTGAGCATGAAATTTTTTATTCTTCTGAGTACGGCCGCTAGTCTAACGCATTGATGAATGCACTCGTAGGAGCACTACATGTTGTTTTTAGTACTGGTAGACTAACGTGTATACAAAGATATATGACAAGAATTACGTTTGCTTATATATGAAGGTATGTACATGTGTATGTATGTGGGTATGTATTTCGTGTATTTTATTTACATGTATAGGAAACAAAGAAGAGTCTGCTACGTATAGATGCTAATCTGATATACATATGGTATTGGTACAGAGCACGAGTATGTGAGAAACAGATGGAAATGCCTTTAGTTGGTGGTTGGAAATTCAAAAACACGTCATAAGTAGCATACAAAATAATAATATTAACCGTATTTAAATTCTACAACACTACTTCGCGATTCAAACGAAAACAGAATTCTTTTGCAGAACAAAAAAAAACTATTAATTGTCTGAAAGAGAATCTTACGCAGATATAGAGTCCCAAACGATAGAAAAAATTAAATTCAATAGATATGACTAATATCTATAGGTGTAAAAAGGTTGAGCCAAAAAAATGTTTTTTTGAAATTTTAACGGGACACCCTTTAATAGTATTTAAGTTTTTATTTTTATTTTAAAAATATTTTGAGAGGTTGCTACCAAATTTTACAACATTTTTGAAACAAAAAAGTTAAAAGTTACCATTAATATCGTCATTAATCGGTTATTAGCAGTAACTACATATATATCAACCTCAGCTGAACTTCCTGATTTTCACTAATCATTAATTTTTTTAACAGTAACTAAAATAAAATAAAAATACCTTATCAATATGAACTAGTTTCTAAGATTCAATATTATTTGAAAAAAACCGACAAATTATATTTTTTTTTAATATATATTTAACCAAAAATGTGTATTTCTTTTCGTGGTAGCAACCCTCAAACATTACACTACAAATATGAACAAAAATGTAGTGGCCCAGCCTAGTGTTAATTAATGTTAGCCCCTAAGTCTGTTGATAGACATTCGTTGCAGAACAGAAGGGAAAAAAGATATCTACATATATCATGGCCCAAAGGTGTTGAGACCCTATGGAAGTAATAACACTAGTCAACAGCCAAAGAAACTCTGGAATTACACCAAATTTTTCTGATACATTTGGGGTTTTAAAGATGTTTATTGACTTATAATTTTTTTTTTTACATTTTTGATAGTTGGACTTAAAGGCTTTTCTGTATTCTTTAATGCTAGGTGTATCATACTTAAGTTATATGGAAAACCTCAAGCTAATATCCTTTTCCCACACAGCACATCTATGAGGAACGGTGGGAATTTTTGACAGATGTGATACTCCGATTCGGGAATTTTTGACAGATGTGATACTCCGATTCGCACTGGCACCATGCACCATCTACCATCCATCATCCATGAAAAACAGCTGATGCACACAGCTTGGTGCGGCGGAAAGTATGTATACTTTTAAATTTAAAACGAGAAGGAACGTGTGAGTCGCTTCTGGGGATGCGACTCTACCTATACCCCTACTCAGTCAGTATATACATTTATGAGCATATGATTTTTTAGAATTTTAGAAATAAAAAAAAATTATTTAAATTTTACATTTTTTTGCTACATGTTTTTACATCTACATTTTACATCTAACATGTGGATTACAGATGTACCATTTATATTCTACATCTCCCGCGCTAGGGGTTGCTAGCGCACTGAACGCGGCAGAGTGTGCGAGCGAGAAAGATATTCTAAAATACACTTGTAGCAGTGTGATATCACATGAATCTGGAAACCAAATTTGGTTGCCCTAGCTCTTATAGTCTCTGAGATCCAGGCGCTCAACAAGACGGACGGACGGACAGACGGACATGGCCATATCGACTCGGCTATTGATGCTGATCAAGAATATAATACTTTATGGGGTCGGAAACGTTTCCTTCTCTGCGTTGCACACATCCACTTTTACCACAAATACAATATACCCCTTAACTCTTTTTTGAGTACGGGTATAATTAATATTAATAATATTTTAATGGTTGGGAATGTGATTCAGCACCAAAATATATTCTTGCACAATTTAATCATGTTGCTGGACATGGATGATGATAATGATGCCAACGTTGACGAAGAGAATTTATTGGAATGGATATCTGTTTTGAAAACACTGAAGCGTGGTCATTTGTGACTGCTTCTACTAAATCCAATCAATGTTTCAAATAAAAATATATATTGCATGTTATTTGAGAAGCGGTTTGGGACATTTTTGAGAAAGATGTACCCGAAAACACCAAGTCGTTTTTTAAGGAATGTTTTGTATGTAAAGTGTACACATTGGGCTCTTTTCCTGAGTACAGAATAGTTGGAAGACTGTCAGCCAATAGCGTGTGCAATATCATGCATGAGTTTCACAGAGCATTAATAAAAGAGAGGATCCCAGAGGATAGTCCACAAACCGAGTTTTTGTGCCTGAGACAATTCTGACATATCAGATTTTTTGTTGTTTTTGCTGTCCAGTTTAGCTGAAAGCAGCGATGCGGCAGAATTTATCGAAAATTTTACTTTGCGGATACAATTTTGCTGGCTTGGTGTCTGTGTTCTGCTGGAAAACATCATTGAGTGTCAAGTAGTGCCTCAGTTGTTCTACTAAAAGCCATAAAGCGTGTCTAGACGGCTACGAACAATAATGTTGCATTTTGTCTCTAGAGCTATCCCTCTCTACGCAGCAAAACTGTCTAAGTCTAATGTCATATGGTATAAATGAGAGGGAACGTTGTATTATACCCGTACTCAGTCAGTAAATACATACATATGTGAACTTATGATTTATATGGAATTTTTTAATATCTTAATATTGTATGTTTTATGTAGATTCTACATCTTCTGCGCCAGAGGGCTCACGCTCACTGCATGGGGCAGAGTACATATGTGCGAGCGAGAGAGAGAATGAGTAGCGGCTGAAGCGCTGGAATGGGATGTGTTAGC